AGGAAGGCTTCGTGGACGTGTGCGGCAGCGGGCTGCTGATCTACGGGGAGATGCACGAGAAGCTCTTCCAGCACCAGCGGGAGGGAGTCGCCTTCCTGTACCGCCTGCACCGGGACGGCCGGCCCGGCGGCATCCTGGCCGATGACATGGGCCTGGGCAAGACCGTCCAGGTGATCGCCTTCCTCTCGGGCATGTTCGACGCCGAGCTCGTCCGGCACGTCCTGCTCATCATGCCCACCACCCTGGTTGCTGGACCCCCGGCCTGCGAGTCAAGGAGTTCCACGGCAGCAGCAAGACAGAGCGCACCAGGAACCTGGAGAGGGTCCAGCGGAGGAACGGCATCGTCGTCACGAGCTACCAGATGCTCATTAACAACTGGAAGCAGCTCGCCAGCAGAGACGAGCGGGCGTTCGTCTGGGACTACGTCATCCTCGACGAGGCGCACAAGATCAAGTGCCCGTCCAACAAGACGACCAAGTGCGTGTACGCCATCCCCGCGAGGCACCGGCTGCTCCTCACGGGCACCCCCGTGCAGAACAACCTGCGGGAGATGTGGTCCCTCTTCGACTTCGCCTGCCAGGGCGCGCTGCTGGGGACTGCCAAAACGTTCAAAATCGAATACGAGAACCCTATTACCAGGGCAAGGGAGAAGGACGCCACTCTAGGGGAGAAAGCACTGGGGCTAAAGATGTCAGAGAACCTAATGACAATCATAAAGCCCTATTTCCTCAGGAGAACCAAAGAAGATATCAAAACCAAGTACGCTGACAAAGCGGACGCTCCTCCTCCCGAGGACCCCCGTGAGAACAGGGCTCCTGTCATGCCCTCCCTCACGAGGAAAAATGACTTTGTTGTGTGGGTGTACTTGGCACCAGTGCAAGAAGAAATTTACAGGAACTTTCTCTCTCTGGACCACGTGAAAGAAGTGCTGATGACAACGCGATCCCCTCTGGCTGAGCTGACTGTCCTGAAGAAGCTGTGCGATCACCCCAGGCTCCTGTCCGCGAGAGCCTGCGTGCAGCTGGGCTTGGAAGAGCACTCAGAGCGGGACCCTGGGAGTGAACCAGGGACCCTCGCGGGTGACACCAAAATAGATCATCTCTCAGATGAGACCCTGATTCGGGAGTCGGGGAAAATGCTGTTCCTCGTAGGGCTTCTCGAGAGGCTGCGAGAGGAGGGCCACAGGACGCTGGTGTTCTCGCAGTCAAGGAAGATGCTGGACATCATGGAGCACGTCCTGTCCCGCAGGGGGTTCCGCATCGTGCGGGTCGACGGGACGGTGACGCACCTGACGGAGCGGGAGCAGCGCATCAGCGCCTTCCAGAGCTACAGGGGCCACTCCGTCTTCCTGCTCACCACCCAGGTCGGCGGCGTGGGCATCACCCTGACGGCGGCCAGCCGAGTGGTGATCTTTGATCCCAGCTGGAATCCGGCTACGGACGCCCAGGCTGTGGACAGAGCCTACAGGATCGGGCAGAAAGAGAACGTGGTGATTTACAGACTGATCACCTGCGGCACCGTGGAGGAGAAGATATACAGGAGACAAGTCTTTAAGGATTCCTTGATCCGACAGACGACCGGTGACAAGAAGAACCCGTTCAGGTACTTCTCCAAGCAGGATCTGAGGGAGCTCTTCACACTGGAAGACACTCGGACGTCAGCCACTCAGATCCAGCTGCAGTCTCTGCACGCCACCCAGAGGAAGAGTGACCCGCAGCTGGACGAGCACATCGCTTACCTGCACTCCCTGGAGATGTTCGGCATCTCCGACCACGACCTGATACACACGAGGGACACGGCTCACGAGGAGCAGGCTGAGAGTGAAGCAGCCCATCAGTACATTCAGCAGCGGGTGCAGAAAGCCCACGAGCTGGTTCAGCTGGAGTCTCAGCTTAGAGACCAGAGGATGGAGGAGATCAGAAACGCTTGTGAAGACATGTGGCAGAGACCACCAGAACTGGTGTCCGAGCCAAAGAAGCGGTCCCCAGGGGTGAGCAACATAAACCGCCTGGCTTCACCTCCAGTAGCTGCTGAACGTGAAGGTGACAGAGTTATTGACCTTACAGAGGAGGCTGAGGTTGCCCAGGTTCTCCACGTCACCTCCAGAATGACAACTCTAACTATTGATGACTCGAATAAAGAGAAACTGGCACAAGATGTATCCAGTATGGACACAGAGCTGCTTAACACCACCAAGACAGTGAAACAATCCAGTATGCAAGAATCTGTGCAAAGTCTTGACTCCAGCATTATACCATCATCACCTGGACTTGACAAGGAGAGTCAGAGTCTGGAACAGAAGCAGTGTTCCCACGTGAGCTCAGACAGGCTGGCAGAAGCAGGGGGCAGCCTGCCTGGGCATCAGCATTCCTCTAACGAGTCTGGTATGGCTGACAGTCCCCAGAGAGATGCAGAAATGCCAGATCAGGTACCTGACCCAGATGCTGCCTTGGGGACAGAGGAGAATGATGTTCCTGAGCTGGCAGCTGCAGCACCACATTTGCCAAACATTACACCAGAAAATGATGCTGGACTCCAGAAGTCTGGTATGTTGGAAGCCAGCTTGGAGGATATGTCTACAGCTTCTCTCCAGTATCACGCTGACTTCAATCTGGTCTTGGAAGAGTCTGAAGATGGACAGCAAGATGCCTCAAACAGGGAAGAATCACTACAGCACCCAGAAAAGGAGGGCTCCCAAGTAAAAGGAGAAAGTTTCTCTATATCTCCAACAAAAAAATCCCCAACACAGACCTGGCCAGGTGAGTCTGGTGGCTGTGGAGACAGCTCCCAGAGAGCTGCTGAAGAGCCACATGACTCCCTGCAGGGCAGCGAGGCGTCGGAGGAAAGCAGCATTGCCCTGGCCTTTGGGAGAAAGAAACACGTGAAGAGGATCGTTTCAGATGGTGAGGATGAAGGCAGTTCCATCATGGCCCTGGAGGAACAGCAGCCTGAGAAGAGGCCCTCTCCCTGGAGCAGCCCTCCGCAACCCTTCCAGCAGGGACTGAGCGCCTCCACCCCGAAACGTGAGGGCAGCACACCAGGAGCCATCTTTTCTCCACAGCTGATCAGCAGTGCAAGCAGGTCCAGTGCTTCCAGGAGATCTCTGATCAACAGGGTGGTAGATGAGGTTGAGGATATTGGAGATATGATGGGAACCACTGATGAAGAAGATGATGATGATGACAGTGATGAGGAGCAAGATGACCTTGTGGAAGAGGAAGCTGAAGAGTGCAGTGGGGAATCTGCTGAGTCTGAAGAAGAACCTGCTGGAGAAACGCTGGATACAGCTAGTGAGTCCCTCCAGCTGGATGTGTCCTCTGAGCAGTCGGGAGCAGACGAGACGGAGTCATCTCAGGAGGAGTCCACTGGGGATGTGGAGCTCCAGTCAGGTGAGCAGGTAGACTGCTTCACCCAGGAGAGTGTCCCTGGGAGAGAGGCAGGCCAGCACTGCCCCCCTGCTGCAGGTGACTACCATACCCTGGTGGACAGTGGGAAGAAGCTTCAGGACGATGGAAAACTTCAGGAGGCACTGAACTGTTTCCTGCAAGCTCTTGACATAAAAAGTGGAGATCCTGAAGTTATGCTCATGACCTTAAACTTGTACAGGCAGCTAGCACAGAAATGAGGTACCGGGGCCTTCCTTCACCTGTGGTTTGTCTTTTTGTCATTAAATGTTTCACTGTGATTTTTTGTGAACCAGCTGAAGGCTGCACCATGGCCAGCCACTGAACTTCTGTCAGCGTGGCTGAAGAAACTCAGCGTCCCCTCCTGGGGGAGGGAACAGTCTGGGTCTGGCTGTTAGGTGTTGGGTGCTGGGGAAGGGTTCACAAAGATGAAAACAGTTCATGTTCCTGTCTGATTATCTTATTAAAAAGTTGTCTTTATGTCTAAACCCCTGTCCGAGGTCGCACTGCTGGCGTTACCTTCTGCCCTTCAGGTTCTGTCACTGCCCCTCTCCTGAGAGGACACTGAGGGTCCACAGCAGCTTCACCTGCTCTGAACTGAAGCTGCTGCAGCTCCTCCCTCCTTGACCCACAATAAGCCTGGTTGCCTCCAGCCATGTCACCCACCAGCTGGGTGAGCTGGGTGCTGGTACAAGGGAGAGAACTGAGCTACCACAGCCTGGGTTTAAGTTGGTTTGCTGTGGAAGAGATAAAAAAAATTAGTTGGTTGCTGGTCTAAGTCCTGCAAGCAACAGAGGCCAGCACACATCTGCTTGTTCTAACCCTGGACATGGTCCCACAGCAACCCTCCTGCTCCAGGGCCTGCCAGGCTGCAGTTGGGGATGGGGTTATAGGTGGGGAGGTGCAGAAGGACTAAAAGAGGAATTAGACCCTGGCTGCTGCAAGGTGCTGAACACCCCAGAGCTGGCAGTGCTAGAGGTGCCACGGGCAGAGGAGGCTCCAGCCTGGCCCTGTTTGGTGCCCCCATCTTTGCTTCCCTCTGAGCTGCAGATGATGCCTGTGCTTGTACAGAGGCAGTGGGAGGGGGAATACTGGGTTTGAAGCTTCTGAGCTGCTTTTCCTCTTGTGGGAAGTTCTCTCACCTTTTTCCCACAGTTTATCTATTTCCCAAGCAAGCTTAAAACAAGAACCTTGTTCTGGCCCTCAGCAGTGCCCTGCTCCTGCCTTGCCCCAGCCAGGGTACACTCAATCCCTGCTCTGTGCTGCCTCTCCTGGGGAAAACACTGAGTTTTGGTGCTCCCTCCTGCCACAAACATGCCTAGTGCCTGGCACACTTGCCTTCTGTAGGTCAGCAAGGGCTGCTGGCACCCCTGCCTGAGCTTTGCAGGTTTTAGAGAGGAAGTGCACCTGCCAAATTCGAATCCTTTGTACTAGGAGATGTGACAAACTCAAGCAGAGTGCCTGGCACACTTGCCTTCTGTAGGGCAGCAAGGGCTGCTGGCACCCCTGGCTGAGCTTTGCAGGTTTTGGAGAGGAAATGCACCTGCCAAATTTGAATCCTTTGTACCAGGAGATGTGACAAACTCAAGCAAGTGTCCTGTGGGTACTGGAGATGTGCCAGCAGAGCTGCTGCTGCTCGTGGGCAGAACCAAGCTCTGGTAGCCTGGAGACGAGCTGTTGGTTAAGCTTTTAAACAAGGCCACATCTGCTCTCATACCATGGAAAGGCCTGGCTGTGTTTCTTAACAAAATAGTAATGATCTGGAGCCTTGCAATCATTCACTGGCCTCTCTCAGCTTCCAGTTCCCTTAACAAAACACATACCCCAAAGAGGGAAGGAGGGAGGAGAAAGTCCTGCCCTGGTTTCAGTCTCACCTCCTCTTAGATGTGATCTTGGCAAAGGCCTCTCGTCCCCTTTGGTGTTTCCCCCCCTCTGAGCCTGCAGATGCCACACAGTGCTCCCTGCTGCAGACGTGCCTGGTCTGGGGCTGCCCTGGGGTGTTTGTAGCCAGGATCCCCAGGGCAGGAGCCACACTGTCCCCTCGTGTCAGCTCCATCCCTCACGAGGTTCTACCAAGGGGCGAGGGGCAGCCTGCTGGGCGCCAGACAGTGGCCGATTGCCAGGGGAGTGCAGGGAGCAACAACCACTCAGTGGCTTTTTCACTCCTCAAGCCTGAGTGACACAATTTCTTCCCCCAGCTTTGAGGAAAAGGACACAGCTGTAGGTACAGACACCTCTGTGTCAGGAGAACTCCACCCCTGCAGCAGTGCCTCCAGCACCCAGCCCCACCTCTGCTGGGGAACTGGAGGAGCCGCCTGGGGTGGTCCTGGCTGTACCAAAGGGACTGTCCTCCCAGGCCAAGGCTGAGCTCTGTAGAGCAAACAGGAGCTGTCTGCATCCTCCCTGGCGAGGGCAGGGATAAAGCCCAAGGCCCTGGGGAACCACTCTTCACTTCCATCTGCAGATAAAAGCCCGAGTGCCTCATTCTGGCAGACAGATCATTGTCTCCACAACAGGGAAAGCAGGAGGCCGTCCCAGCAGGCAGCACACATCCCAACGGGGTGAACAGCTCTGCCTTCCCCTCCCTCAGGCCCTGCTCTGCCAGCTGTGGCCTGCGTGTCCCGCCCCGGCAGCAGGGCCGGCCAGCTGCCCCAGGACTGAGCTGCCCCCAGGCCAAGGCTCGCAGGGTTCAAGCAGTCCACAAGGTCACGCTCGTTCACGTTTTATTTTCTGCCTTCCACCATGATAATGTGGTACCCGAACTTAGTCTTGACAGGAGGGTCTGTGTACACTGGCTTGTCCATGCTGCTCACGGGCAGGGCGAACGCCGCCTCCTGGAAGGGTCCCACCATGGAGCCTCTGGTCATCCAGCCCAAGTCTCCCTGCAAGAAGGGACCGTGCAGGTTAAGCTTGGAGCATCTCACCCCAGCAGCAGCTTTACCAGGGGGGAGTGGGGTGGCCATGGGGCAACAGACCTGTCCCAGGAGCGTGCCAGGGAACAGCCCCTCGTAGGGGCTGTTGGCTACAGGGGCTGGCTGGCTACAGCCAGGGCAGGCGTGGGGTCTGCCTGCCCCCAGCGCTGCCCACGGGGCCAGCAGTTGCACTCAATGACCTCCGAGGTCCTTTTCCAACCAAAACGAGTCCGTGACTCTAAGCAGTCCCAGCC